GGAAGGAAGGAAGGAAGGAAGGAAGGAAGGAAGGAAGGAAGGAAGGAAAAGAAACACAGGAGAGATAAACCCAGAAATTAATGAAAATAGTTAGCTCAGGTGCGATGGAAACAAGATAGAGGAGATAAGAATGGGAACAAGATCTCTGAGTTTAACTTTTTATAATGGTTTGACTTCTGAACCATGCACGTTTCATGTATTCAAAAATAAATCAAAAGCAAACCTAAAATTGAACACAAACAAACAAATCAAAGTGTCTCTCGAATGTATAACATAATCTGTCAGGGAAAATAATTACATCAAGTTACTTTTGAATACTTCAAATACATATTTTAAATTACTCTGACTATATACCTTCAGTAGGGTATATGCTGAGGACAAAAGATCTACAAAGTAATCCTTTTTTTAAAAAAGATTTTATTTCTTTATTTGACAGAGAGAGACAGGGTGAGAGAGGGAACACAAGCAGGCGGAGTGGGAGAGGGAGAAGCAGGCTTCCCGCGGAGCAGGGTACCTGATTTGGGGCTCAATCCCAGGACCCTTAACAACTGAGTCACCCAGGTGCCCCTCTATAAAGTAATCTTAAACTTCACCACACACTGTGGTTAATGTTAGTTTTAATAATGTTATTATAATTTTGAAATTACATGTTGTAGGATAAAGCAAATAAGAAAATGTCTTTATGTTTCATCAAATGAAGGTTTTTAATGTACATGAAAAGAAATCAAACAAGAGACACTCCTACAATATTAAACTTGAATTAGAAACATCAATATGATCTTGTGATTTCTTAAAATATATTTTCTAGTTCTGTCTACCAAGAGGTCCTGAAAATAATGTCACTCCAGTAACACTGATCATATCTACCACCCTGATCTTGGTTTTGGAATACCATTTCTCATTCAAAGAAGTGGAGGCTTCTTAAGGAATGGCCGTTTCTACCTCTAAAACAAGGAAAATAAAAGGCAGACCTGGGACTTCTTGTACCAGATGGCAAGGAAGCCCTCAAAAGCCAATGTGGTTATGATGAAAGGATTCAGGAGCCAGCTTGAAGGGACTTCCTCTAGCCAAATTTAGGGAAATTTGAGTATCAAAAAGAATAATTGCTGCACTTGACTGTAACACAATGAGTACATAAAAAGTGATGTGGAGGCACCTGGGTGGCTCAGTCGGTTAAGAGGTTAAGCAGCTGACTCTTGGTTTGGGTTCAGATCATGATCTCCAGGTCCAGAGATCTAGCACAGCACTGGCTCCCCATGCTCAGCAGGGAGTCTGCTTCCCCTCTCCCTCTGCCCCTCCCGCCCACACACTCTCTCTCTCTCTCTCTGAAATAAATAAATCTTTCTTTTTTTTTTTTTAAGGGATGTGTCCGTTGTGATACTCACTAAAAACAAAAACCCTTTTAAGAAAGAAAGAAAGAAAAAAGAAAAGGAAGAAAAGAACGCCAGGTAAGAAATTTAAAAAATTCTTAAAATATAAAACACCATTTTGCAATCCCTGAATCATAACTGATTCAAGGGAGGACCATCAAAGGATACTAAAACCATTAAATGAAAAGTTAATGGGAAACCATGGCTCAGTAGTCTCGTGACTATCCTAGATTACAAATGGCAAAGGGAAAAGTGTACTTTTACAATGAAGATCTTTGTCAGTCACCCCTTAATCAGGTGTCAAATTTAGTGTCATTAATGAGACAAACTGATGTTCTGTTTCTCATGATATGATGTACATAAAATCAGCTATGAGGGATTCTTGCCAAAATTTAACCTGACTTTAATTAAGGCTCTACACCAGCATTATCCAATAAAAATACAATGTGAACTACATATGTAATTTAAAAATTTCTAGTAGCCACATTAAAAAAAGAAACAGGTACCCTTAATTTTAATGATGCATTTTATTTAATCTAATATGTCCAAAACATTATTACTTCCGCCTGGTAATCAACATAAAAATCACTAATGAAATATTTTACACTCTTGTTTTCATGCTAAATCTTTGAAATCTGGTGTATATTTTACCCTTATAGCACATCTTGGGCTAGCCACATTTCAAGTGCCCAGTAGCTATACGTGCCTGCCTGACTACCATATTGGACAGCACATTTCCAGATCTGATTTCCAACTTGCCTGCAGTCCAAGAGACTGAGGTACAAACTAAATAATACCATGAGGAAACAGAAAGATCTAGAACAAGTCAGAAAACTGTTTTGTAAAGGGTCAGATAGTAAATACTTTAGGTTTTGCAGGCCATATGGCCTTTATCACATAATTCTCCTACCACCACCTCCTCCTCCCTTTCTTTCTCTTTCTCTTTTTTATAACCCTTTAAAAATATTGAAGCTATTCTTAGCTCTAGTGCTGTACAAAAATAGGCCATAGTTTGTGTAACTTGATCTGGCATGTGTGACATTCTCTGAGACAATTGGCCTGGATTTTCCAGAAAGTCAGTGTCATGGGGGAAACGGTGGGGAACAACAAGAGGGATTCCAGGATTGACATGAGGCCAGTAGCTGAAGTCAAGAGCATAAGAAATAGGGACAAGATGAGGCTCTAGAGCTGGGCTGGAGCCAGAACACAGAGTACTTCGAGAGGTCACAGTAAGGGT